GTATTAATTAATTGACACTAACATCCGCTCTGGTTGTCTGACCACAGGTGACTCATGCAACCTCTGACAACTGTGGTTGCTCAAAATGTAGGTTGCTAACTGTATGATAAGTATGAAGACACTTTTGTCTGTTTTGTGGTATGTGTGTGTGTTCATGTGTGGCGTGCATGCGTGTGTGTGTGTGTGTGTGTGTGTGTGTGTGTGCTTGGCATATGTGTGTGTGGTGCTATGAAGATATTTATAGATAATAGGAAAACACAAGAAATTTGTGGGGTTTTTTTTAACGTTTGAAAGAAAAGTATTCATCCAAAGGGCACTGCTGTTTCTGTTGCTATCAGGCTATTGTCTCTGTTCCGAGTCTGCTTACTCAACAAATATTACAGGGGAAAGTCAAGTCCACCTCATCCTGTTTACAGCAAGTTAAACTTCTACAAAGAGACTAAAGGTCTATACCACATCAGCACAAATTTTGCCCCCCAGTTAATCATAAAACGGTTACTGGTCAATGTTCACAACTGAAAGACAGAATGCCAGCCCGGAGTAGATAAAGACAGATAAAGAATTTTATACCCCTGACTTCTGATTTCTGAAATCCCAAATCGTTTTATTTTTAAAAGTGTAATAGGAAATAATTTACCTTACTTATTAGGTAAAAAAAAAATCCCAGAAAAATAGGCAATGCATACTACTGTCCTATTTTAAAAACAACAAAAGAAATGATAGCAATATACTATTTGTTAGTCTTTCTAAACAGAGTAACTCTACGTTACCTCTGCAGAGTGGAAAAGAGTGGGGAGACCTTGTATTTTGTTGCATTCATTCTTTGCAATGTTTGTTTGAGTACATGAGTGTGTGTGTGTGTGTGTGTGTGTGTGTGTGTGTGTGTATGTGTGTATGTTAAACAGCTGCATATATAAAGCATGGGGAAGGTGGTATATATTAACATACATGAGGAGACAGTCAGAATTGAGGCAGAGCTCAATTGGCCTCAGAGATATTTCTATCAAACCTACCACCTTAAAGATGAGGAACCTGAGGCCCAAAAGACCTAAGTCAGGTTCTGTGGCTGTGAGTCACATTTTAAGGGCTTCTGACTTAGAACCCTATTTATAGCCTTTCTGCAAAAGGGTGGATTGAATCTTGAAATGTGGTTCTTCCTTCCTTGAAGAGGTTCTGCAGTCGGTCATTTGTAAGGTGTGGATATTTAACTCGTGGAGAAATGTAAGAGCAGAGTCCATTGGTTTCTCTATGCTCAGGGCAAACACAGCAGGGAGGCTGTACTTCATGGGAAGTCTGTGATTACCAAGCTGTGTCCACAGCACACACATGGATGGGAGCATGAAGATGTGTGTTGCTTTGTTACCCACCCTGCTGTCACAGAGATACACATGATAAGATGGCTTAGGGCTACCTTAGTCTGAGTCCTGGTGCTCTTTTCCCCAATCTGAGACCTAAACCACAGGTACTGTTAGGTTCTCAGCAGCCACACCCCGTTTCCTATCCTATCCCCTCAAATTCTAGCCTGGACCTGTGTGCTCCCCACATACCCCTCACCTAAAGTCGCAATACCACAGCAGCAGAGTCAAGCTGACCTCTGGAGTCTGACGTAATTTCTTGAAGAGGGGATTATAAAAAGGTAACATATTCTCACAGTGGGACTGTTTCTAAGATAGTAGAGAAAGTATACCAGGGTAAGTCAGCAGGATTTCATTCCAAATGTCTGAAGCTGCTCTCACAGAGAAAATGATAGGGAAAACTTCATGTGTTAGAAGGCTGTGGGATTCATGATTGAAGATGATCACTCTGAAGTGTCTAGCCCAAGAGAAAGCAAAGGGCAAAGGCCCCAGGAGTCCATTTGTGGGATGAAAACCTCCATCACTAGTACCAGTAGGTGTGGGAGAAGAACCCAGAAATTGACACGAGGCAGTATACACAGACACAGAATGTAACAACAAGTAGTTGTTAGGAAAAGAGAAGAGAATCAGAGGAATCTAACCTGATTAGAATCCTACAAATAAAATTATTTACAGTATTTTTTTCAAGACAAAAGACTTAGAGGTGTGTCACACGGCAAGCAGTTACTGGCCATTCATCTGGAACATTTTTGTCACCTTCAGGAAAGATATGAATGAGTATTCACGCTCAGAGAGAGAGAGAGAAATAGTAAACACAGCAGATCCATCAAGGTTTTAGACACCCCCAGGCAAACACAGTGCTCTGCTTAAAAACCCAGGTATTGAGAGGAAGTCCTTTTACTTACAAAGTGAAACAGAAGAGTCCTCTGAGACAGTAGAAGCTTGTGAGGTGGCAGCTGCCCGATTGGATGGACCAGCTCAAAGAGCGCTGGTTTTTATAGCCCTTTCAGCAAAGCCTGGTGGATTGTTTTTAACTTTTGCCCTCCCCCTCCTACCACGCCCCAGTAGGGAGGTGTTTATTCAATAATGCTGATTGGTGCACAAACAGCCAATCTTTGTAACCAGGCTCACACACTCCTCACCTCAAGCTCATAGAATGTCAGAGCTACAAGAGAGTCTTTAGATTACATAGTTCCCACTCCAGGCCTGACGCTGTACAGGTGAGGAGATTGAAACTCTGTGGATTGTGGAACTTGCCCCAGACCACCAAGGACGGGTAGACTAAGTGCTAGGCCTGTCGAAAAGGGTGTAGTGGAATGTTGGGGGAGAAAAGATGGCAGAGATCTTAGCATTTCACTGATCTGCTGGCAAGATGCGTCCATTGATATAAAATGGTGTAGCTGTTAGAAGAGTAGCCAACCTAATTTGAGTTGAATCCACAGGAGAGAGTTCATGCTGGAACTGTAAACCCAAGTAAAAGCTTATGACTGCGAAGATCACAGGCTCTAGGGGCAACCTACTATTATTTTCCTATCATCAAATTGCCTTTGATATATTTATATTTTTGCCCATAGATTAGTGTGGCTCTCAACTTTGATCCGAGGACCTTCTTTCTTGTGGTAGGAAGTAATTAACAAAGAGTGGTTAAAGTGGGGAGTATAGACAGCTGTGGACAGGTCGCCCGTATCAACCCTTCTACTTTTGTCTTCAAAGTCAGTAAAGTTTGAATTGAAGCCAGGCATGGTGGTGCACGCCTTTAATTCCAGCACTCTGGAGGCAGAGGCAGGCAGATCTCTGTGAGTTCAAGGCCAGCATGGTCTTTAGAGCAAGTTCCAGGACAGGTTAAAAAACAAAACAAAACAAAACAAAAACCCTGTGTTGAAAAACCAAAAAAATAAAATAAAATATAAATTTGCATCGAGCTTAATGTTGTTGACCTGAGCCATCAGAACATCCCAAACATGGAACTTTGTGGGTTCATTTTATAACTTTCCCTACTGAGTATTAGATCCAAATCTAACATTATAAAAACAAATAAAAATGAACATCCTTCCTGGGGCAAATGATGGAGGAGGCATAAATCTAAAGGTGGTGGAATTGTCATGATTTAGGAAAACAAACGTTCTTTGAAACATGTTGCTTTGAAGTCACATGTTCTGGTTCCCACATCTCTACCAGGCACTCATCTAAGTACTAGGTTCTTAGCACCTGTGCGGGTCAACATACATGATGGCTGTTAAAGCAGAATGGAGGGAGCTGGAGGTGTAGCTCAGTGGTAGAGCACATGCCCAACATGCACAAGCAAGCAAAAAGAGAAACTCAAGAACTGACAAAAGTATTATGAGTGTTATTATAAATATAACTAATATCACCTATCGTTTATTTTTCAAGACTTTCTGATACACTATGATCTTTTCTTACATGATCTGTAATTGCTGCACCTTCTGACGAAAGGTTTATTATCCCTATTTTATGCACAAAGAAACTCTTGTTCCAAAAGTAAGGAATTGGTCCAGACTCACAAGGCAGACACAGGGAGAATCAGTTGCTCCAAGCCATGGTCTGAAGCAGACCCAACCCCATTTTGGTGGCCCAGAGACAGCATGGATTAGCTCATTCTTGTTCCCTTCTAGGCGGTTTACGACCTTGGACACTAAACCTGCATTAATCAGAGAGAAATGACTTGCGTCGGCAGACCTAGGTAGGCATTCCTGCTCAAGCTGGGCATGGTTTCACGTGAACAGCTGCCTGGCCGGGCATGTCAGAGGAGCAGGAGTACCCTGGCCCCTGAGCAGTACCGCTGGATGCTGCCCCTGTGTCATGAGCATGCCCACCTCTGGGGCTTGCAGTGCAGTGCGGCTGAAACTTAGAGTTCACGAGAGCAAAGCTAACACTCTCCGAACCTTAGGAAAAATCCAGCTGCTGACTCAAGAGATTCGCTGCGGGTTTATTTTATTGCTGATTGGTTGGTTGGTTTTTGTTTATCTTTTGTGTTGTCATTGAGGGCTTTTTTTTCCCCCTTTGGCTCCTTTTTAGCTGGGAGAACTGCTATTGCCTATAAAAATCTCCTAACTGTAAACTGTTCAAAGTTAAGCTAGGATGTGTAGGAAGACAAATGGACGTGGGGGCTGCAGAACACTAGGGGACTGTCCCGATCTTACGAATGCATATTTTCACCACATGTGCAATGAGATGGCAAGGCCTCCAGCAGAAATTAGTTATGAGGACCGAGGGTGCAATTTGGTGGGAAAGGGCTTGCCTGGCCGCTGTAAGGCCCCAAGATTCAGTCTCCATTACCGCAAAAAACAAACCCATGAACCAAACAACAAAACACCAGGAACGGATTGTCAAGCATGAACTAAATGACACGAGCAGAGGTCTAGCAGAGAGCTGGATTCTCACCAACTTTCTGACGTATGTGCCGAACTCTGAATTGCAGATTATTTCAAGAGGCAATATAATATCACTCATGCTCCTTCCCAGCAATGCCTTCAACAATGCTCCCTTTATTACCCACTCACTGCCCCTCGCTGAATACTCGTGGTTTGAATATGCTAAACAAGTCAGATGTGTTCATATACATCACGAGGTATGAGTCACACAGAGACTAGCAGCTGTAAGCATGGACCACTGCGGTCTTAGGGATGCTGAGGGGAAAGGACTCAAGAAAGAGGAAAGTTACCCACATGGGCCAACTGGAAGAATCAGGAATGGACTTTTAAAAATGTCATTTCGAACATTGACAGAGGTATTTTCTTACTGTTTCATTGTCTGCTTTTGAGGCTAGGATGGCTCAAGACTGTCATTGTTTTAGCTGAGGAGTTGGGGATAGCATTACCGGCACAGTTTACACCATCTTTCCTAAGATTCTGTATCTGGCCTTTTGTTAGCTGTGTGGACAGTTTGGAGACAGGATATTGTGTGAGCACAGGAAGAGCAACATCGATCTAATCTTAAGGAGCTCATAGCCTCAGAGGTAGGAAAGGTTTGAGGTCACAAATCAAATCAAACTGAGTACAAAAATGTACTAACACATTGTGATGGTGATGTCGTGGGGGTGGTGGGGGTGGGGTGGGGTTGTGGTGATGGTGGTGATAGTAATGATGGCAGTTGGGATGATCGCAGTGCAGAAAGGGTTGTCACGGCAGTGCCCATGAATGACTCCGTGAAGTAACATGAAGAAAGAGATCTAAGAAAGGTATGAATGCTGAGGTTTTATGCATGGCCAATTAGTACTTGATGCCAACAGTTTCAGCCTGCCGGTTAGACCCACAAAGCATGGGACAAGGATGCTTCACCACTGTCTCCAGCATCTAGCGCCTTGTCTGGAATACACGAGGTACCTAATGCATATTTGTTGAATAAAAGTGTTAATATGAGCATGAATCACGCAGACAAATCTCAAAATGTCTAGAGCAACCAGCTTACCAAGGATCTTCAAAGATCCTTGTGATCTTTGAAATACCTGGCAAGTAGAAGATGGCCATCGCCACTCTAGGTTTTGAAAGTTCTTTTATGATTTATTTGGAGAATCACAGGAAGCTGGGCTGAACTCTCCTGTCGGGTCATATAAGAATCCATGGTCCCCTTACTTCTAAAGCAATATGCTGATAAACTGCATATGACATAAAGTTTGCCATCTTAATCATTTTAAGTGCCAATGATCATTAAGTATCATTGTTAGGCAACAAATTTCATAACTTGCACAAAACTGAAACTCTGTCTCTTAAATGACTCTTCATTTCACCCTCTCCCCAGAATCTGGCAACCACTGTTCTGTTTTCTACGTTACAAGTTAGACTTTTGCAGCTATTTCATATAATGGGATCCTATAGTTGTGTCCTAGCTGTTTGGGTTTCACTTAGCACAACATACTGAAGTTTCATTCCTACCGTAGCCCCCACTCCATCCTGCCTCACGAGATACTTTGCTTCTGGCACGCATTGCCTCTCCTCTCTAGGCTGTGTAATATTCTGCTGCGTTAGTATGTCATATTTTATTCCTCCGTTTACCAGTAAATGAATCCTTGGAGTTTTTTTTTTTTTGACCTTTGGATATTGTAGATAATGTTGCCACCAACCCAAGTGTATAGAGTGTGTGGAGAGATGACTCAGCAGGCAAGAGCATTTTATTTATTTATTTTTTGTTATTCCAGAAAATTCAGGTTTGGAGCTCAGTATATAAGCAGGGCGGCTCACTACCATCTGTAACTCCAGCTCTGGTGAACTTGATACCCACCTCTGGTATCCAAGGGCACCAACAAAAATGGTAGACAGACACACAAGACCCATAAAATTAGAGAAGCAATCTTTAAATGTCTTGTGTGGCTAATATGTGGAGAAACCCCAGGCTTGATCTCCTGGACCTAGGATAAGACCTGCTTCCTGAAATGATCCAGACTTTGAAGGATACGTTTGCACATTTTCTCTGCTATGTGGAGTATAGGGAGAGGCAAATACATAAACTACATAAAAATAGAAGGCAGACTATGAATGACGAGGAAGGGACTTGGAGGAGAGGTAAAAAGAGGATGTTATGGGGATGAATATGATCAAAGTATATAACAAACACCCAGGAGGAAAATGTCACAGAAAAAAACTGTTATTTTTTTGCAATTAATAATTGCTGAAAAAATTAAACATATTAATTTCAATTCCTTTCTGTTCTCTTCTTAATCTTTCAGCTTTATTGACTTAAGATCATAGATTATTCAGTTTACCATATCAAAATAGGTTTATTTTATTTTATATGTATGAGTACTTGCCGGCATGTATGTATCTGAACCGTGTGCTACCTGTTTCCCAGAACACATCAGAGACCCTGGAACTGGAGGTAATAGTTTACTTATTTTTATTTTGTGTATGTGTGTGTTTTGCCTGCATGTATGTATGTGCAACAAATGTGTAGTGCTCATGGAGACCAGAAGAAAGTGTCAGATCTCTTGGAATTGGAGTTACAGAAAACTATGAGCCACCTTAGGGTTCTGGAAACAATCTGGTTCCTCTATAAGGGCAGCTAATGGTCTTAATCACTAAGCCATCTCTCTGTTTCCTCAGTTGGTTGTTTTTAAAAGCTCAGAATGGGAAGGTCTAAGAGCTTTGCAGTACCATAAGGAGGCTCAGGGACCAGCATTAGAGTAAAAGACCTTCCATGTTTTAGTGGCAGTGTTTTGACATTCTCCATTACTAAGCAATCAGAACTGTTCGTTCTGTGAAGACCAAAGTGCCTGTGTGGGCTGAACCATCTGGGGCCAGTGAGTTGAAGAGTGTCTAGTCTAGGAATCAACCCCCCACTTCCCTAGACGCTGAAGACTAAAACTGAGCCCTGAAGGGACAAAGAAATTTCCCTAAAAGTGGCCACATCTGCATGGTTCAGCTGGAAGGATCTTGGCTGGAATTGAAATATATCTCCTCTAGTCTTCGTTAGATGGATTTTCTTATTGGAACCTGTGCTGGTAAGTTTTTAAGACTCTGAAATAAGCAGTAATTGTTCGTTGACAATTTGAGGTTTTTCTTATCTGAGGAAACGTGTCCCATCAGTTAAATTGTGACAGAGATAGACCAGCTAGGAAAGAACTTCAGAGTTACTAAGGAACCAAATTTACTTACCAGGGAGAGTTAGAGACTGGTTCTCAGAGCCCACCAAGCTCTGTCGCCATGCCCCCTCATGCTGTGCTATTTACCACCACGTCTGTGTTTTCTCTTTGCCTTTTGCTCAACCATCTCAAAGTCCAACACTTCCCTCACTATCTAATCTGGCAGTTGGCTATTGATGTCATTTATGAATTCCAACCTAACACTCCTTTCTCTGACTCTTTATCTCTTAGTAAAACTTTTGGCCTTCAGATGGAAGGACACTTCATGCCAGAAGCAAGGCATCCAGATGAAGAAGCATGAAGCTGGGGTGCGGGGGGCCAGCTCTGCCACTGACTAGTCACAAGACTGAGCAGGGTCACTGTATCCCTGCTGCCATCTCCCTAGTGTGTGAAATGGACCTGGAAATCACACCCTATCCATTTTACTGGGCTGTTGCCTTGCTCAAATGATGTCGTTTAAATGCGAACTCTAAAAATGATCAAGTCCTTAATCTCCCTCACCAGAGCAGGCATTGTGGTGTCCACAGGCACTCATGCATGCACACACACACACACACACACACACACACACACACACACAAGCTTAAGAATCAGAAAACATCCCTTCCTCCTTAACTCTGTTTCTGGTAGGTAGATGACATTCTTCACAGGAGAGTAGAGCCCTCATTGGGCACACACTCCTTACAAGAACTTCTCTCAACACGGCACAGAAAGCAGCATTCAGTTCCACCCATCAGTTCTGGGGTAGGAATCTTATCCAGTAGTAAGGAAAGCCTGAAATACAAGTTCAAGAAGCTAAAGCTCCTTGAAGAAAAGGTTCCCTTGTTCTGTAGAATTCGATAGTATGTTACTCCAAATTGCGTGTTTTTGAAATACACAGTTGTCCTAGAACATAAGAAATGGTTTGGGACAATAACACAATGGTTCTCAGACTTCCTAATGCTGTAACCCTTTAATACAACTCCCCATGCTGTTCTGACCTCCCTCCCAACTATAAAATTATTTTAGTTGATATTTCATAGCTGTAATTTTCTACTGTTATGAATCATAATGTAAATATCTGATATGCAGGATATCTGATATGTGACCCCCAAAGGGATCGTGAGCCACAAGTTGAGAACCACTGCATGACATAAGCCACTTAGGCCATCTTAGACTAGCAAATACCGCTGACATGGATTCTGCATCGACTCCTACTGGGAATCTTCAAAGAGCTGGCATGGGTGGGAGAAGCAGGGTCTCTCTCTCTCTCTCTCTCTCTCTCTCTCTCTCTCTCTCTCTCTCCTCCCCCTCTCACTTTATGATTACCTTGCCCTGTCTCAGTGCTCTTAGGAATAATGAATGTTACTCTGACCTGACCCAGGATACACTTGCTGAAGACCAAAGTCTCAGACTGTTCAGGGGCAGGTAACTCACAGTCACTCGCTCACCACAAGGCCACCTTCACACCCACAGAGTGAAGAACACGGCCACCCATCTCTGATAACTTTTCCAGTTATCTACCAAATCATTTCTTTGTCGTTTTAAGAATCAGCCACAAATTCTCTTGCCAAGCCAATGTAAATATATATAATACTAAATGGACTGACAGGTGGCATTGATATATTTATTCATATCTATAAAACAATAAAAAAGAAAAAGAGGCCATGAATTTGAGAGGGAGCAGAGGGACATAGGAGTGGTTGGAGGGAGGAGAAGGAAGGAGAAAATCATTAAAAAGAATCAAAACCACAAATTTCCCCATTTTAAGAAGAATTTGAATAGTAACATCAGGTGGAGCTTTTTTTGAATTCCAGGTCACAGTAGCCAGCAGCATCGGAACGGCAGGTGTGGCCCCCCGCACTCAGCACAGCTCCTTTGCCTTCTCCACAGTCTCCAAAGTCCCCTCTCCAAGAAAGAGTTACTTCTAAAAGCTGTCTCTGGGGCCCAGCATCATTATGTCTGGTGCCCTTTCTTCAGAATCCCTCCATCTGACTATAACCTTTCCACGATCTTTTCCATGGGCCTTGTACAAAAATTAAGCTGGGTCTGAATCCAGTTAGAAGTTGCATAGCCACACCCCCAAAGATGAACCTTCGAGGATAGTGAGGAACTGAACTAAAGGTAGCCCCCTCTTCTCCACACACGAACATGAACCAACCGAAGGCGGCAGAAGAGGCAGAAGCAGGTTTGAGGTGAATGAAGAAATGACCATATTAACTGTCGACAGTGTAAAGGGAATGGGGGAGGAGAGGTGACCATGAATTAAGGCCTTTCGACTGTGCTTGAGTCATAAGATGACTGAGGAACAGAAGCGCCACCCCAGAACCCTGCCACCCTGCCAGGCAGGCAGACTGACTTCCGCAGCAGCCCTGTACCACGTCACCAGGAGAGCGCAGCCAGACTGCGTGGACACAGATTATTGCAGGCCCGCTCAGTGTCCCTGCTGCCCTGCCTGATGGGGTGTAATACGAAGTTGGAACAAGTTGTCTCTGGCAGGGAGCCAGGAAGCTTTTGCTTCCCACACGGCACCCAGCTGGAGAAGCACGTGGAATGACCGTGACCTGGAGGCCATGCCCTTGCTCCGTGAGTGTGGGACTGGAGGCCTTGCCCTTGCTCCGTGAGTGTGGGACTGGAGGCCTTGCCCTTGCTCCAGGAGCACCTGGTGTGGGAGAGAGGGGAGAAGTCAGCCTTTTTTAATCAATCTGTTTTCCACCCCAGTCTTGGGGCGGAACCCGTCTGCCCACTTTGCTACTGCTAGGTGGCTCGTTTTGGAGTCGCTCGCCAGGAGAGAATCTAGTTTGCTGGATCCCATGGAGGAATGTTAAAGCTGTCGTTTTAGAAAGTGTGAAAACTAAAAAACTCAGACACTTAGACGACAAGATCATTATGTTCTGGAGTATCCCAGTCAGAGGAAGCAAGCAGCTATCTCACGAGCTATTGCTAATTCCGTGTAAAGGCAAACGTGCCAGTTATTTCCCCAGTGCCCTCAGCCTCTCCTCCAAACCGCAAAAGCCCTGTCTCTGAGACACCAAGGTGAGCATCCACCCCACCCTCCCTGCCCTCAGGGAAGCTAGGACTGCTGCCTGTGGGGCTTCAGCAGAAGTCCCTCATACAGGGGTCTACTAGGGAGGGAAAGCCAGGTCAGAGGTGCAGACGGAGCTCGGAGCTCAAAACTCAGCAGGGTACTCCTGTCCAGTTTAGATCCAGAGAGAACTGGTTCAGACTTCTATTCCGTGAACCTCCAGAAAGAGCAGTGCATTCCCTCAGGAAGTTGCCAGTGTGCATGCACGTGAGTGTCTCTCTGTGTGTGATGCACACACACACTTTGCACCTTCAAACAAACTTTGCCCTTTCAAACAAGTCAAGTTACTGAGCTGCAGGCCAGGGCCACCTGCTCTGCCAGCAACACGCCATTCTCAGAAGCCTAGGGATTTCCTGTGGCCAGAAGGGTGGCCTCCTTCATAGGCCCAGAGGTATTACAGAGAAATATTAGTTTCTCACTTTAGTCTGCACGGCAGTTGCAGGAGGAGAGCCCCAAGAGAGCCAAGGAGAGCTTTGACAGTGAGCTCAGTAAAAGGTGATCGATTTCTGAGATAGTGGGGAAGAATAAGAACATGGGTGCTGTGAGCAGAGTTGAAAGCGTAAAGCGTGCATGTGCATGCATGCGTGCGAGTGTGTGTGTGATGGGAGGAAGAGGGGGTACATGTTGAGATAAGATGAAGAACAGTCTTTCTCTCACTCTGTCCCCCTCTTTCCCCTGTGACTATGGGCATGGAGCGGGGTTAGAACACCGGAGAGAAGATCAACAAGGGACCAGCATCTTTGCACTCTGATGGTATAAATTCATTCTCTTGAGCTAAACATGGCCCACGTCATAGAGTAATGGTAACTGAAGCTGAGAGACTACATTGGGGGAGGGGGGCTTGTAAAAAATAAGTGGGGCTCATTCAAAACAGAATAAAAGAATGACATTAAGGACAATAAAACACGGCTAGAGAGATGACTCAGCTGTAAAGGGCCGACCACCCTACATGAGAACCTGAGCGCAGTCCCTAGAACTCATCTAAAAGGTTGGGTGTATTATTGTCTCTTAGATGCCCGCTTGTTTTCTAATGATAGAGAGAAAGAAAGGGTATGGGTTTGGGTAGGAGGAAAGGATTTGGGAGGAGTTGAGGGAAATACATTTGCAATAAGAATATATTAAATGAAGAAATCCATTTTCAATTAAAAATGGAAAAAAAGGCAAATTTGGAATGAAAACAAACAAACTAACAACAAGCTGGGTGTGGTTGGCATGGCTCATAACCAATTGCAGCACTGAGAAGCAGAGACAAATAGATCCCTGAGGCTGGCCGGCCAGCCCAGCCTACTTGACGATCTCTAGGCCAATCACAAATGAAACAGGATGGTGTCTAAATAATGACACCCTAACCTTCCATGTGCTTCCATACCCACAGAAATGCTCACCCATGCACATACCATATACTAAAATATAAAGTTTAATCTTTCTATAAAATGCCGTTGATTTCTCAAAGTGTTTTAAATTGTTATATACTGTTATTCTAAGCAGAGGAAGCTTAAATTTTAAATTATTAGCATGAATCTCGCCACTCACTCTGACTTTATACCATGAATGTAAGGACATTTAATTTCTGCATAGAGTCATCAAAGTTATGCAATTGACTTCATAGTTCATAAATGTGATTTTTCCTTCTCCTAAGAAGAGTTAAAAACACTTTAGAACATGAACTTGGTCTTGCCACGTCACCTCTCGACAGCACACAGTCTGTTTACACTCTCTGATTCACTGCAGGGTAAGGAAGAATTAGGAGGAAAAGAAATTATGGGACGCTTCATCCTCCTCCCTCTTTCCCCACTATCGTTGTCAAGTTGATTGGCTGGCCAACTCCGGAAAGCGGCACAAAGAGACAGGATGTGGTAGGGCTCCTTGGTGTTCATCTTCCTTGGTGCCGTTTCTTTCTTCCTGGAAAGCAGAAGTAAGTTCTAGAGCGGAATGTAGTGGGCTGAATGAGAATCTTCCTCATAGGCTCCTGCATTTGAACAGTTGGTGGCTACTTAGGGAAGTTCAAGCAGTGTAACCCTGCTAAAGGAAGTGAAGGTATAAAAGAACGATTGTTAGATGTTGCTTTTTTTTTTTTTTTTTTTTTTTTTTGGTTTTTCGAGACAGGGTTTCTCTGTGGTTTTGGAGCCTGTCCTGGAACTAGCTCTTGTAGACCAGGCTGGTCTCGAACTCACAGAGATCCGCCTGCCTCTGCCTCCCGAGTGCTGGGATTAAAGGCGTGCGCCACCACCGCCCGGCTTAGATGTTGATTTATTTATTGGTCTACTTAAAGTACTGCTTGAGGTGTCTGTTTGCCAAACATGACTTCACTTGCTACCTGAAACAGAGTGACCTGGAGGAACAGATGAAACAACGGATTGTTGCCGCTAACATTCTGCTGCTGCTAACATTTTTGTAAAATCTTGCTTGCTTGCCCACCTCGACTCATTGTTTTACTGTATAAAATGAAGATACAAACTGAACTCAGGACTGCTGGGATCTAGGCGGGCTTTGGTCCATGGGCGACTTCTCTCTTCCACGCTACTGATTTTTATCCCAAAAAGATTCCCACAACATTTCTAGAGGCTTTGGTGAGATCTCCTTTACCATGGACCCCCCCCCCCCCATCCCGCCCCAGTTTGTCAAGAGAGACAGGTGCTTTGGGCCTCTCAGCACACAAAAGGTCTCTGGAACCAGATATTTTTTCCATTGTACAATTTTGGCTTTTTTGTCAAAAATCAGGGGTCCATAGGTGTGTAGATTTACATCTGGGTGTTTGGTTCAATTCCATTGACCCACCTGTCTGTTTTCAGTCAATACCATGAGGTTTTTATTACTAT